CTAGCAACCATCAGTTTTTCCTCTATATCTCTGAGACTATTTCTGTTTACTTTGCTCGTTCATTCAGTTTTTTAGATTCTACATATAAGTGAGATCATATAAGAGGGCAGATCTTAAGTGTTGACACAGAAAAAGGAAAAAATGATAACTATGGGAGGTGATGGTTATATTAGCTTGAGTGTGGTGATTATTTCACAATGTATATGCATATCAAAACATTTAAGTTGTATACTTTAAATATAAGCAATTGGTATTTGTGAATTATACTTCATTAAAGCTCAAACATTATCGCTGTATTTAATGATTCTTTTCATTGGACTTGTCTCATAACAAATGATTACATATTACTTTGGTGACTATTTGTAACACTGTTCTTAATTTAGCTTCAAGACTTTATTATAAAATACTGTGTCGTGTCATGTTTCTCTTTAATGTTATAACATCATTAGAAGGAAGTTTTTATATTTAAACCATTATTTTACTGGTATTTTCTATTGGTCCCTACCTGAGTATAAGTGTGTTTAACATTCTTTGCTATTTTATCCCGTCAAGATACCATTTCACCATCCAGGGCCAGTTAGAATGAAATGAGATAAAAATGTCATCTTTGTGAATGATTTCTTTTCTTTCCAAAAGTCAATATGGCAAAATCCTCTTTTTCATTTTCCATTGTCACCTCTGTATTTTGCTTTCTTAATCTTATTCCTGGGCTCACTTTTATTCTTATTTTTTTGCAGAGCAGAACTTACTTCCTGTTGTGATGCTGTTCAAAACCTCATTGTTTCTCAAAATAACACTCCAGTTGGGACCAACATGAGTTACGAGGTGGAAAGTAAAAACAAAATCCTAATTAGAGAGAACATTTTTAGTATGTTTCCAGTGGTGAGTAAAGATTTGTTGTAGTGTATTTATGTCACCATTCCAGGTGAATTTTCTGTCACTTTAAGTTATAACTTATAATAATGGAGAAGTTAATTAAAATACCATTCCCTGTTGTATAAGATATGCATAGCGGTCCATTTTAAAAGGGCAGTTTTGAATGCAGCATGGCTCTGCAATGTATAGTATTTATATCTTAAATGATAAGCTCTCCCGGTTCTTATGTCTTCATGACTCATCCTTGAATGAGATAAGGTACTTGGGCTTTCTGCATAGTAATTACTGGGGCTTGGGAAGATGACCATTTTTCACTTGAAATAAGATTCTTCCAGTTGTCAGTTTTGGTGACTAAATCATTTCCTTCACAAAGAACTGTAGGTTTATGTGGCTAATCTTTGGGGAAGTAAATATGTAAGAATTTGTGGTCAATAAACATAACCCCTATAAGATGGATTTTTGTCTGTTGTGTTCGCTGATGTTGCACAAGCTCCTAGAACATTCCCCAGTATATATATGCACACATCACATATTTGTTAAGTAAGCTAATGAGTAATAATACAGTATCATTACCAGAAGAAATCTGCCCCTTAATATAAATCCAACCTTGGGGAAAGTTTTTGTCATGCAGAACATCCCATTGCTTAAAAACATATACTTTCAGGAATCTTCTCATGATTTGATTAAAACCAATTAAGGTCAAGTCAGTGTGGTAAAAAATGGGGTTGTTTTATTATANCCCAGTAGAATAGTCCTTGAAGTCTCTGGTGTTTTTCCTTCCTAACAGAAGCCAAAGGCAAATAGATTGTGGCTGTCATGAAAGAAGATTTCCTTCTGCATGTAAATTCCAACCTAGGAAATAAGTGGGCTCTCAGCCAGGTAATCAGCCAAGGACATTTTTTGAGGACTTTCTATATATATAGAATACAGAATTAAGCCATAAATCAGAACTGCTTGGGGTGAGGTTTTTCCTTGCTTACAAAAATTTTACCAATTAAATGCTCGATCATGTCAAGTACCCTAAATCATTCCACAAATCTCAGGAAGCTTTGGGAAAATTGGAAAATGTTGTGGATAACGGATCTCTTTGCATCCTAAGTAGCTACGGCAGAAGGACCATTACAAGAATGAGAACATTTTATTTATGTAACAGACATGGAAATACATCGTTATACTACTAAACATTGAAGGAATTGCAGGAATTCACATGAAATATCTGAAGCATTTGATCTACCGCGACTATTTCTTTATTCTTGATCAAAAAAAGTCATGCAGGTCTACTGGATGAGTTCAAGTTTCCCTATTTGCACGTGTCTTCAAAAGGCTAATTCTATAGTGAAGAGTCACCTCTACCCTCCTGAAAGTGAATTGGCAGGAAAATTTCTCCTGTCATTGTATCTTACCTGGGTCATCACTCTTCCAAGACCATTCTGCTTTTTATTTCAAAAAATGAGTGATATATGATAACGATGCATCACTCACATAATGGAGAAAAGACTGTAGCAGATGATATTGAAACACAGGTTCCTGATAAGGAGAAAAACAAATTTTTACATTGCACAAGAGAAAAATTTGCACTCCACATAGATTAAAGATGGATTAAAAGGTAAACTGTAAAGTTAATAGAATGAAATATAGGTGAGGGACTGTACTTTTTAAATATAACTCCAAAATAATTTTTTTTAAAAAAATTCTGTTAAGAAATAATGACNTGAACTACCTTTTAGAAATGGTAGGTTCTGAAATACAAAGAGGAATAATAAGCAAGTGATTTAATTCAGTTAAGAAGAATGTGCTGTTTTAATAAGATAAGTTAACTGACAAGTATTATTGAAAATCTTGATTTTAGGGCACAAACAGTAGGACAGCACTAGCACTGACTTTTCATACCCTGAGAATTTCTGGAATTTAGGGAGCCTGGATTATAATTCAAAATGACCATGGCAGATTAGAACATTGTGTTTTTTCAAAGGGACTCAATTCAGTAGAAACATTACCCTTCACGACAAAAAAGCCCTAAATAATTGTGCAATGGAGAGGGTCCAGTTATGAATCTAGGGTCAGCTCTGCTCGCAGAATAGTCTCTGCCCCGGTGCAATGATTAGATCTACCTTTGATACATATTTTAATACGGAGAAATAAGTAAAGGTTTAAAGAGGAACCAGATGACTAAAATAATGAAAAAACGGTCCTCTGAGGAAAATCTGAGAGAAGAGGAAATTCTCTAAAACTCTTCAAGATTGGAAAGGCTCAAGTTCTGCTTGCTTACCGTTTTCAATTACGTGAAGTGTTTTTATGAGGAGATTCTCCGAAAAGCTGACAAGGGAAATGGATTTAAGTTCAGCGCTAGTTCGGTTGTGCAAGTGGAAGAATCACTTGATTTCAAGGTTGATTAAGCTCTGGAAAATTATCAAGAGATGCTCTGGGATCTATATCCATGGAAGAATTATGTAAACAAAATAGAAAGTCTTCATGGTTGCA